GTTACCCCAGCAATCATCCTCAGCATTCTCATCTCCATAGTTTGTAGACTTCTCTCGTCTGATTCTTTGGTTGGCCATGTTTCCGAACTATATAGAATAGTTGGTTGTACTATGGAACTGTAAATTTTTCCCTTTAATTTGTGTGGGATTCTTTTGTCAAATAGCACTCCAGATAAAGATCTCCACTTTAACCACCCTTGATTAATCTTATTCTTTATCTCTTTTTCTATTGTGCCGTTTGTTTGTATAGTGGAGCCCAAATATTTGCAGCTTTCAATTGCGGATATCTGCCAATCATTTATATCAATACTCTCCGTTTCATCTCCTCCTATCACCATATACTCCGTCTTTTCTCTATTTACTTTTAATCCGTGCGTTTCTAGGATATTTATCCAATTCACTAACCTTTCTTTCATTTCATCCTTGGATTCGGCAAGTATCACAATATCATCTGCAAATATCATATTCCACGGGACTGTTTGAGGTATAGACTGTGCTAATACATCTATTACTGTAATGAAGAGAAGTGGGCTGAGAGCCGACCCTTGATGAACTCCTTCGGCTATTGTGAAGCCTGCTGAAGTACCTGTTGTGCTACGGACCATTGTTGTATGTCCCATATACATATCCTCTATTATTCTTATATATTTTTCGGGAACTTTTTTGTGGCGTAGCGCCCACCAGATAAGTTTTCTTGGGATTCTATCGAAGGCCTTTTCTAGATCGAGAAAGACCATGTGTAGCTTTTTGTTCTTTTCCCTGTATTTTTCACTCATTTGCCTAATTGCATGGATAGCATCGGTTGTTGATCTTCCAGGCATAAGCCAAACTGTGTCTCTCCTATTTCGATTATATCTCTTAATCTTTTTTCTATTATTTTTTCGTATAGTTTTAGACAGTGTGACATTAGTTTTATGCCCCTGTAATTTTGACAATTGTGTGGATCCCCTTTATTTTTGAAGATAGGAACTAGATAGCTCTGCCTCCATTTTTGGGGGACCTCTTCATTTCCAAGTATTTTATTGTACAGATTTGTGAGGAGATGTATTCCATCATCTCCTAGTGCTTTAAGGCTTTCTATTGGAATATCGTCTGGACCCCTAGCTTTGTTGTTTTTCATATGCTTGAGGCATGTGATTATTTCTTGTTCCGTTATAGGTTGTACAAGGTTTTGACAAGTCGAGATGCAATATGTGGGAATTAAAGTTGAGAAGCTCCTGAAAATATTCTTTCCATCTATTCATTATTTCTTTTTCCTTTATTATCAATTTCCCATCTTTATTTTTGATTACTTTCGGAGCTCCGTTTATATCCTTAGAGTTCTTTTCTCGCTGTTTGGCTAATCTGTATATTTTATTTTGCCCTTCTTTGGTATGTAGATCTTCGTACATGTCATCGTATGCCATAGATTTGGCCCTAGCCACCGCCTTTGTAGCTAATGTATCTTGACTTGTCATCTGCATTTTTGGATTTGTACCATATTTTATAAAGGGCTTTTTTCTCCTGTATAGTGGTTTGTACCTCTTGATTCCACCACCATAGTTCTTTGTGTGATTTGTTGCCTCCTCTTGTCAAGCCTAGCGTCGATTTTGCAGTGTCTATTAATCTGGATGAAAGGTCTGTCCAGATTTTTTCACTGACTTGTGAGCAATTTATTGTTTCAATGTTTGCATTGATTGCAAAGGCATTGTCATTGTTTTTAATTTGCCCCATTTGATGCATGGTTCCAGTTTTATCTTATTTTGAGTGGATTTATTTGAGATTTGTAAATCCATGATTAGTAGCTTGTGTTGAGCGGCGATATCTTCTCCTGGGATGACTTTGCAGTCTATTACATCTTTTAATCTTCTGCGAGAGATTAGCATGTAATCTATCTGTGTTTTCCTAGTACCACTTTCATATGTTATTAAATGACTGTCTTTTTTCCTATAGTAGGTGTTGGTTAAGGCAAGGTCGAAGGCTTGCGCAAATTTCAGTACGTGCTCTCCTTCATCATTTCTTTCTCCATATCCAAAACCACCATGATGCCTTTTGTAGCTATCTCTTGCTTTCCCCACATGCGCATTTAAGTCACCACCAATTATGACTAGGTCATCCTTAGGGATTTCCATTACGGCTTCATCAAGGATAGCTCTAAAGTCATCTTTCTCTTCTTCCTTGCAACCCGTTTGAGGAGCATATACTGATAGGATGTGTAGTATTGATTGACCAATGCAGAGTTTTATCCTCATTAGTCTATCAGAGATCCTGTTGACTTCTACAACTGAGGAGGTTAGATCTTGACTGAGGATGATGCCGACACCGTTCCTATTGCTAACAAGTCCATTATAGTACAATTTATACCCATCTCCAATCATCAAAGTCTTCTGTCCTTTCCATTTCGTCTCTTGTATGCACGCTATATCAACTTTTCTCCTGTTCAACATTGATGCCAATTCTCTCGTCTTACCTTTAAGCGTCCCAATATTCAAACTTGCCAGTCTTGTCTTCTTTGCTTTGACCTTTACTTTATTTTTCACAGGATGGAGGTCTACACCCTGCGCGTCGCATGGAGGGAACGCCCTAGCTTTCATATTCATATTTTCATTTGTGTCCTTCATTTTGTTTATTGGACAGGTATCCTTAGCACCCGGCTGTCCAGGCCTGTCGGTGACCGGGGTGTCATCTCTAAGCTCCGAAATTCATCATACCATATGTCTTTACACATCAGTCATCGAAGAAAAACTTGAAAGTTTTTATGGTTCTTACCAGGATTGAACCCGCGTCCTTGTTCATACTCATGTTTCCAAGCCTACATCTTACCCATTAGGCCACCCCGGCGATATCTAAACAATATATGATGTTAAATTTAAATTACAAAACTGCGAATTGCCGTATATAATGTTAAATTAAAATGACTAAACTACGAATTGCGGTAATTAAAGTTAAATTAAAATGACTAAACTGCGCATTGCCTTAATTAACATTACATTTAGATAACTTAACTTTGATAGAAAATACTGATGATAATCACCAAACTGCTAATTTTTTTAATTGGTCAAAAATATAAGATTTTATCAACTATATTACCCTACATTCATACTATCCTTTCCTCAATACAAAATTTAAACATTTTCCTAATTTATTAATAAAATATGCTGCAATTATTAGCGTTTATAGACATAATCCTCTCTATATATTCAAAAAAATTTAGATTATTAAAAATAACATAACATATTAAAGAGGTATTTTATTTTACAATTTCATAATATATGAATCAAAAAAATGTATTTAGAAAAAATTATAATTATTGACTAATTTTATTTAATTTCAATATAGATATTTATTATAAATAATTTATTTAGTTCATAAATTTACAAAATATAAATGCATTAACAATTTTCATCCGATTATTTGTTAAGAAGCTTTTATGTTATGAATGTACTTTATATATTTACTTAAAATAAAAATAAGTTATATAAATAATTTAATTTATAAATTTACAAACATTATTGATATCTGTTTGGATTTCCTTGTGATTTTTGATAGGGAACTCCTTAGTGTAGTGTCGCAAAATGTTAAATACAGCATATATAAATTTATATATTTTATCGCATATTTTATAAATAAAAAAGGAATTTTACGATTGCAATTTTTTTTCATGTTGCAAGCTCAGGTTATCCATATATTAAAAAATTATAATCATAAATGTAAAGATTCTATCTCAATTTTATTTTATAAATATTAAATTATAAATTAGTATATCTAAATAGTTTACTATAGAAATGAACGTTTTGTAAATAAAATCCCCTTATTTCTCCTTTATTATAAAATAACTAGTTGATAACCCGTCAAAAATGACGGGGATGAGAATTTTATTCGTTCTTTTACGATAATCCCTCCCCCTCCTCCTTCATGCCAATTCCAACCCATTAAGACTAAGAGAGAGGAATTGTCTTTTTTATTCAATGATTGATGAATAATATATTTTACCTTTATTTGATGATGGATGAATCAGACATTTTCCTTTTTATGAGATGTGATTTCGAAATTTATATTTTAAATTACAAAAATTAAACAATATCTCTTATTAGCACCCTAAATACTAACATTATTTACCAGAGCTCCTGTTAGTCAGAATTACTGTTCACTCCCCACCGCGTGAAGGTAGGAGATGGATATTAGGGGAGCAAAGAAATGAAAAAAAGAATGAAAACAAGAAGGAAGAAATAGAAAAAAAGAGACAAAGATATGAATTATAAGAAAATATAATAAATATTTATACTTCAAGAGTTGATGATTATCGGGTTACAACACATATGCATTTGTAGCCATATAAAAAATATAATATAATAAATTTTATAATATAGAAAATTTTACCTAAAAAAGGAGATTTCAATCTCTTTTCTTTGCTCAAGGTGGTTTCGTTTTTGAAGATGATGTTGTGATTTCCTTGCTCGTAGTTTGTCGTAAATAACCTGAAATAAAACGTGTAAATTGAAATTAAATAGAATATACTGTTGTTGGTGAGGAAGATGGTTTAGCGATGGTGAAGAAGTTCTCTTTTCTTTGCTCAAGGTGGTTTCGTTTTTGAAGATGATGTTGTGATTTCCTTGTTCGTAGTTTGCCGTAAATAACCTGAAATAAATCGTGTAAATTGAAATTATAAAATAGAATATACTGTTGTTGGTGAGGAAGATGGTTTAGCGATGGTGAAGAAGTTCTCTTTTCTTTGCTCAAGGTGGTTTCGTTTTTGAAGATGATGTTGTGATTTCCTTGCTCGTAGTTTGCCGTAAATAACCTGAAATAAATAAATTGAAATTAAATAGGTGGGATTTAAACACTATTTGTAGGAAGATCAGAATTGCTGCGTGATAGCCCATCTCCAATTTTAAGTAACCAAGCATTGTAATCAACTTGATCTGATGAAATACGCATATTATCAATCAAATGTATTATTTTAAAATGACTCCATAAATATGAACTTTTTATACAGGACTCTATAATATCGACTTTAAGCCTTAAGGCACTACTGGTAAAGTCTGTCTAAAATCACCACCTAATAAAATTACTTTTCCGCCAAATGGGTGGGAATTTTTCATAATGTCTTTAAGTAATCGGTCAATGCATCGCAAAGCGTGTTTAGTCATCATTGTGGCCTCATCAATAATAATCAATTTGCTATTTTTAATATCTAGAGCTAGCGAACTATGTAAATTCATATGGGATGTAGAAGTTTCAAAGATAGGCACAGGTAATTTAAATCCGCTATGGATGGTTCTTCCCCCCTTTAAAATAATAGAGGATATGCCGGTGGTTGCAAAAGGCAATACAATTTGATTTTTTGCTCTTATATAACACATTAAGGTATTGTAAAGATACGTTTTACCTGAACCTCCAGGGCCATCCACGAAGAAATATCTTTCTGGAATATTTTCTAATTCAATCGCTTGTATAATTAAATCAAAAGCATATTTTTGTAATTGGTTTAATTTAGATATACGCTCGATTGAATCGGCAGCTTCAACATGGGCATCATAATGTTGTTTTGGGGGGATTTTTGTAGGTGAAGGAAGATCAAAACTTTGACAGCATAAACCATGATCAAGAAAAACGTTTTCAATGTCCATTAAAGCCATGTTTATTGCAATTACTTCTGAATATTGACGCAAATAATCTTCAATCATCATAAATCTGAACCTATTCCATAGATATGCAGGATTTTCAGGCTGACAAAAAATGCAGATAAAGGCAAAAGTACTCCGTAGTTGTGACGGCATTTGATATATTGATCCCTCTTCTAAGCATGATTCCCACTCTTTATCATCTGATAACAAATTTCTTTTAATAGCTGCCTCTTTAAAAGTACTCATTAAAATTCCATTAATAGTTTTTAAATAATCAAAACTTGTAGCCCCGCAAACATGAAGTAATAATAATCGAAGGAAGAATCGTTCACCAGAATTAGGATGAACGGAATACATTCTCGAAATTACATTTAATCGTTTTTTTCTTAGTTTCCAATGGTAATTTGTAAACACATAATGATAAGGTATTTCCCCATAAAGATATTGTCTAGCATTTAGATCTGTCTTATTTAACTCAAACCATGCCGTTAAAGTAGTATGTTTATTTTCTGATCTCAATAAAGCATCTCTTTCATGTCCAGCAGTGAAATATACTGGCTGTTGTAAAGGTAAATGAATTCCTAAGCGAATAACAGCGTGCGAGCGGTCATGCATATTATTTTCTAATAATCTCCACATTGATTCACATGCACTCACATATCGCGCATTTAAATGTGATTTAATTTCGTCATGAATATTTATATTTGAAGCAACATTAATGTCGACATTAGTACAGTCATAGCCCTTATAAATATACTTAAAGATATATTTTACCGATTTAATAGATGTACAAATTTCCACGTTAATATGAGCATTGAATTTTAACATTAGATATCGATTATATGGAATAACATAACGATTATCCGTAGGTTTACCGGAAAGAATTGTAATACCATTATCTCGCCTTTTATAATATGGATACCCATCAATATTTGGTCTTGTTTCCATTTGAAAATCCTTCGGAAATTTTTTGGTACATATGCCATTTTCCATGCAAGGCGATTTGGGGTTAAATATCCCGCAAGGACCATGTATCATAAAATGGGTAACAATCTGAAAAAGTTTAGGATCGAGAATTTTATCTGGCATTTCGGCACAAACAAATTTATCTATAGCTTGAGATGTTTCAATTTTGCTATCATCGTTTAAAATAATAAGTATATGGGCATGAGGCAAACCTCTTTTTTGGAACTCGATTGTATATATAAAAGCCATAGATTTACCAAATAAATTTTTTTTATTTATATCGAACAATAATTCATTTAATTTCAATTTAAAAACACGGGCTATTAAATCTGGTCTATCTGTAGGACTTTGCCCGGGAAATAGATTTTCCTTAATTTCACGCCAATTAGGATTGCATGTAAAAGTAATAAAAAAATCAGGTTTGCCAAATTTGAGCACAATGGCCATTGCATCGTGATAGCGTTCTCGCATATTTCTTTGAGAACCTTGAAAAAATGATGGTAATATTACTGCTTTGCAGGGAATTATATTGTTTGACTTTGTTTCCAAGTAGTCCATTAATCCAGAATATTCATCTACTCGTAATTTTGGCTGATTTTGTCTAATAAAATTTAAATTATTCGCCTCGACCTGTAAATAGGAATCAACAATATATTGTTGTGATAATTTCCCAACAAAAAGGATTGGGTTGAATTCATTTTCACGAATTGCTAATCTAAATATTTTAAACTGTAGTAGTGAGATATTTGCCCTTGTACGCCCTGTATCTTCACCCTTTAAATCTGGTTTCCAACCAGGGTCACCAAAAGGAAATAATAGAGGATATACCATTGGATCAAGATTAGGGCTTAATATATTTATATTTATCAGATCACTACCATCAACTCGAGGATAGACCTTGATATCCCGTTTAAATGGGGGTTACTATTCTCCTGTAGACTTCTATATATTATTAAAAAATAATATCAAGCAAGTTTTGGAGGTCTGTAAATAGCTGCTTAAAATAATTAAAAACATTCGGCTAGTGGATAAGATAATAAATATTTAAAAAAAAATAATTTGAAGATATTCCATAATTTATCATTGTAACTATAAAATTCAATAAGATATTCAGTTAAACCAATTTAACTAAATGGGTCTCGGGATTTTTTTAAAACTATTAGCAATACATATATTATACTTTTATTTACAATATCAAAAGATTAAGAGATATAATCGAAATAGGAGAGACACAGTTTGGCTTTATGCCTGGAAGATCAACAACCGATGCTATCCATGCAATTAGGCAAATGAGTGAAAAGTACAGGGAAAAGAACAAAAAGCTACACATGGTATTTCTCGATCTAGAAAAGGTCTTCGATAGAATCCCAAGAAAACTTATCTGGTGGGCGCTACGCCACAAAAAAGTTCCCGAAAAATATATAAGAATAATACAGGATATGTATATGGGACATACAACAATGGTCCGTAGCACAACAGGTACTTCAGCAGGCTTCACAATAGCCGAAGGAGTTCATCAAGGGTCGGCTCTCAGCCCACTTCTCTTCATTACAGTCAGTGGCGTAGCTACGGGGGGGGTTTTCGGGTTTGGACCCCCCCCCCAGAGCAATTAATTTTTTTTTTAGAATATTCGTTTAAAAGACTCAAAAGTGACTTTATATCAAATAAATACCATGAATATTAATATTTTTCTGGTTTTGATGTTTGTGGAAGGATATTATTACTTTTAATTTTAAATATATATATATAAATTATTCTGTATATTATTTTAAAGTCATTGATAATAATCTATTAATTTTAATAATATATTATTGATGCATTTTTAAAAAAATATTTATTATAAATTATCCAAGATATGGTTCGAAAATAATAATATGAAATAAAAAAGTGCATAATCTACCCCCCCCCCCCCTCAGAGCAATTTTTTTAGATTATTCGTTCAAAAGACTCAAAAGTGACTTTATATCAAATAAATACCATGAATATTTATATTTTTCTGGTTTTGATGTTTGTGGTAGGATATTATTACTTTTATATATATAAAAATTATTCTGTATATTATTTTAAAGTCATTGATAATAATCTAATAAATTATAATAATATATTATTTATGCATATTTAAAAAAATATTTATTATAATTTATCGAAGATATGGTTCGAAAATAATAATATGAAATAAAATAGTGCATAATCTACTTTCTCATGCTTTTGAGGTTAAAAAATATTTAATCCAGTGTACTAATTAATATCTTATGCATTATAGGCTCTATTGAAAATAATAAGGATGATGTAAATACACCAGGTCAAAATAACATTTAATATAAAAAATATTAAAAATTAATAGCTAACTATTTTTATTTTAGAATTAAAATTAAACACCTAGTCATAGTTTTAACTAAATTAAAATTGCCAGTACAAACCACTTTGGGTAATTTATTATTTTAAATAATTTTGGCTAACCAAAATATTTTGACATTTATAAGATATACCCAAACGTAGGAGGGAAGAAAATGATCTTGATACACTCATTTATATACCCAAAGACCATATAAAATCACTACCTAGTACAAGTAATATAATCTATTAAGATTTAAATATTTTTTATTATAGATTTAGATATATCAAGTATTACATTTAATAAAAATGATGATAGTCAACAAAATGAACACACCAAATCACTAATTAATATAGAAAATCAAAATTTTAATGATGAACTTGATATCATAAGCAACAATTTACTACCCACATCAGGTATTTTATAATGACCTTATTTAAATGAATCACTAATTAATATAGAAAATCAAAATTTTAATGATGAACTTGATACCATAAGCAACAATTTACCACCCACATCAGGTATTTTATAATGACCTTATTTAAATGAATCACCAATTAATATAGAAAATCAGAATTTTAATGATGAACTTGATATCACAAGCAACAATTTACCACTCACCTCAGGTATTTTATGAACTTATATGACCTTATTTAAATGTATTCATTTAAATTTTAGAAATACCTAGATACTCTATAAAAAATTATGATAAAAATAAGCTAAATACACTTGATCACTTCAAATCTCTACCTAGTAAAAGTAATGTTAACTATTACCTTTAAATATTTATATCATAATTTTAGGTATATCAAGTATCACATTGAAGAAGAATGATAGTAGTCAACAAAATTTTATAGGCTGTATCAATTTAGAATTTAAAGGTTATCTAATATGTTGTTTTATTTTAATTTATTTTTATAGGAATATCTCAATTAATATTCACACCAAGGGGTAAAAAAAATAGTGATAACAAACAAAAAAATACACTAAGTCACAACAAATCACTATCTAATAAATGTAATGTAATCAATTACTTATTAATATTTACATTAAAATTTTAGATATATAAAAAATCTAGGTAGAATTTAAATGGAAATGAAGTTCCACTCATGTCAGGTATTAGTCTTATTTAAATTATATTTATTTAAAATCTTAGCAATTCCCACATACTCCAGAAAACTAAAGGATAATAGACAACCAATTATACTAGATCATTTAGAACCATCACCTACTACAAGTGATATAGTCTATTACTTTATACTTATAATAATCAAAAGTTGGTTCCAAAGCTAACATGTCATCTATGATTATTAGCCTAGGTTTCTCAATATTAATTTTAAACATCTATCATATATTGGTAAAAAAATATTGCCAACACAATTTTGATTTTTTCACTTTGAAGGATATCGACTTAAATTTACAGTTTAAAAAAAAACATTTATTTTTTAATCTATAGTTTTAATGTGTTTACTAATTATAAAATATATCATTTATAATTAAGGCAATATAATATTTATAATTAAAGCAATTTATATGTGTAATACTAATATTTATAATTAAGGCAATATAATATTTATAATTAAAGCAATATAATATTTATAATTAAAGCAATATAATATTTATAATTAAAGCAATATAATATTTATAATTAAATCAATATAATATTTATATTTTAAATAATCGCTTTTTATTTGTAAATAACTTCTAAAAGTATAATAAAATGAAACGTATATCAATAAAATTGTGTCAATGTGTTATTTTAATTAAAATTAGTGGCTCAATTTTAGCCGATATGGCTAACTCAATATATTAGCCAGAAAATTTTGCTCATGGAGATACAAGTTTTATATTATTCGAGAAATCTCTAGGCTTGAACAATATTTTTTGGCAAAAATATTGAGTTAGCTGTTTATAAAAATCAGCTCAAGTCGAGCCGTTTAACAACACTAATTAAAATAATTAATAATTCTAGGACTTATATATTATAAGAAAAACCAATATGATTTTTAAGATAAACCCGGCAGGCTTTTATATATGGACCCCCTCTAAGGAAAATTCCTAGCTACGCCACTGATTACAGTAATAGATGTATTAGCACAGTCTATACCTCAAACAGTCCCGTGGAATATGATATTTGCAGATGATATTGTGATACTTGCCGAATCCAAGGATGAAATGAAAGAAAGGTTAGTGAGTTGGATAAATATCCTAGAAACGCATGGATTAAAAGTAAATAGAGAAAAGACGGAGTATATGGTGATAGGAGGAGATGAAACAGAGATTATTGATATAAATGAATGGCAGATATCCGCAATTGAAAGCTGCAAATATTTGGGCTCCACTATACAAACAAACGGCACAATAGAAAAAGAGAATGTTTAGAACCAAGTTATAATTTAATAGGACTGGTGCAGCCATTCATAGATGCCATCAAGTAGAGTGCTATTTGACAAAAGAATCCCACACAAATAAAAGGGAAAAATTTACAGTTCCATAGTACAACCAACTATTCTATATAGTTCGGAAACATGGCCAACCAAAGAATCAGACGAGAGAAGTCTACAAACTATGGAGATGAGAATGCTGAGGATGATTGCTGGGGTAACAAGAAAGGATAAAGTGCGCAGTACAAGAATACTAAGTAGCTTAAAGGTAGTGCCCATTAAGACTAAGTTAATGGTAAACAGACTTAGGTGGTATGGGCACACAATGAGAAGGCCTATGAACTACATAGGAAATAAAGTTGAGAGTTTGGAAGTGATGGGCAAACGTAAAAGAGGAAGGCCAAAACTTCAATGGGGCTTTAAAGTTAGAGCCAATATAAAGAAGTATAAAATAGATAAAAGAGATTGTATGAATAACATAAAGTGGAGAGAGATGTTGAAGGAGCTTACCACCAGAAAAGGTGAAAGCTAAAGAGAAAAAAAAAAAAAAATCAAAATAATTCAAAACAAAAAAGAAATATATTCAATTATAAATATAATCATTTATCACTATTCTGCACTATTTATTATAAATTTATTTTAGGCTGTTGGACTTTATTTGCTGATTATCTCCACTCTCCTTATTTATTTCACAATTTAACCATGATTTACGAAAACTCCACCAAATTTATCTTTATAACCTAATAACCGATTCAAATAGATGTCATTGTTTTTGATAAACTCCTAAAATACGAATTGCTAAAAACTACGAATTGCCAGGTAAATTGCGAATTGCAATGACTAAACTACGAATTGCGCAAATTAATGATATTATGATAAAATGTTGCAAAATAGGATGACTTATATAAAGTTAAAAGGAATAAACTACGAATTGCCGTATTTTATGTTAAATTAAAACGATTAAAGTGAATCATGCTGTTATGCAATTAATATTTTTATATATCACTCGCAATCCAATCCAGTGGATAATAATAAAATCTTTTTTCATTTTTGTAATCTAATATACGCTTATTGACTTTTTTATTCTTCACTTTTATATCTAATAATTAAATAATATTTTATTCCTTTCCATGTCAAATCGATCAAACACTTTCGGCCGATCCCTTTTAAAATTCTTAAAAATTTCATGAATTATTAAGATAGGTAAATAAATGAATGATAAAGCCATTTATTTTAGCTCGCTAGCACACCTGGTTCCCGAGTAGAGGCTCAAAGGGGAATCTGCAAAATTTTTAAAATACCTCTATCTCAAAAACTAGTTATAGTAAAAAGGTATATTATATATCAAATTGTAGGTAAAAAAAATCTCTAAAGGGCTTATAAAAACAATAAAGATTGGCGCCAATTTGAGCCGTTAATTGGTTTACTTATTTTGCTTTACCTGTGTTTTTAAGTAAAAAAAGAAGTTTGTTTTCGAAATTTTTTTTTGCTTTTTATTTTGACACCTTTGCTAAATTATATACAATGTTAAAACTTTGGCGATGCTATCGACTCTTCCAAATTAGACATTTTTATTAAAAACTTTAAAAAAAATAGATGGCGCAAATGTAAAATATTATTCCTAAGGAAAATGAAAATATTCATACATTTATAAGAAATGTGATAAAAATTTCCAGTTCTTCCCCCACCCTCCACAATCCTTAATAGTTTTACATTTTTTATATCTCGACTTTGCTACTATAGCGGATGCTTATCCACTCGATAATATATAACAAAAACTATTTTATTAGACATTTTCTATTATATTTTATGAGCATATTATTTAACAAAATAAACTGTTTAAAACTATCTCTCTTTCTATATAATATTTTTTACTTGCCCGTTCAGATTTATTTTAAACAATCGTCTGTCTACCAAAGCATTCAGGATTTGAAGAATGCAAAAACATATATTCTAGGTGCAGATCTTTTTATTCCATATAATAGATGGACGTACCATGTTATAATATCAAAATGTTGCAACCCATTTAATCTAAAAAGACATGCTCATTATCGTAAGAATCTAAGAATGATTATACCCTGAATGACCACAAAAAATTTAGCAATCAATTTTTGTTTCTATATTAAAAAATAGTGAAAAGATTCAAGTTCAAAAATTATTAATTTTAATTTATTTACGATAGCTATATCTTAAATTTATAGGTATTCATTAAAATATTAAAATTGGATTATCTAAATTTTGTAATCTTCGCCCAGATAATTGTGTATCACTTGGCAGCAACGGTACCCATTCAATATGTGTTTGCTCCATTCATCAAAACACAAAATTAATACTGATGAATTTGCCCAAAATTACTTCTGCTTTTCAGATGGAGCAGCAGCTAAATATAAAAATCGCAAAAATTTAATCAGGGGATTTCGAGATAAAAGCTGACTGAAATTTCTGGGCCACATCTCATGGCAAATATGCCTATAACGGGGTCGGAGGTACTGTCAAACGTTTAGTGGCCAGGACTAGTTTATAAGACCTGTTTCAGAACAAATCAGGCGCGTGCTTAGCGGGGGGTGGGCAGGGGGACAATTCTCCCCAAAGCCAAAAAAAGCAGATGCCGGATTATATTTTTCAAAAATATTATTGTTAATATTAATTTATATTTGTTAATATTTATTCCTATCTCGTATATATATTTAATTACATTTATTTATCACATACATTCATCTACTAAGTTATTATCAATTAATTTCGATTTAGAGTTTTTCTTGGCTTAATTTACCTATTATTTTCAAATTTTAGTGGCGTATTATTTATCAAAATTTCTAGTCAAATAATAATTATCTCTGAAACTCCTTGTCCAACAGGGAGAAAGATATTGTAAGCTTGTCCAACGAGATCGAGTGTTCACCATCAAGCAGTAACCGCTTTTATTGTGTTAGAAGAGCCGATTATTAATGCTATTACTGAAATATCACAACGGCCTGAAAGAAATATTTTCTCAAAAGCAAGAAAATTATTGTATTCAATACTTATTAAAAAAAATTTTCTCATTAGAATGTATTATTTAATTATACAACTATTTTATGTAATACTTTTCAAAAACATGACATTGACTTGATTAAGAAGATGAGAATAGCGGAGAGCATTTTATTAGAACTCAAGCAAATTAGAGCTAATGTTGATGAAGAATTTCATATTTTATAAGTGATTGTTGAGTCAAAAGCGAGCTATCCATGTTTAATATTTGTCCCCCTCGACTTGCAGCAAGCAAGCTCATCGCCAAAACATTAATATAGGATCAATAGTAGAGTATTATAAAACAAATGCCCTTTTTATTTCATCATGCAATACTTACAAATCCGCAGATATT